TTAAATATAAGGTTATAGTTTTCTTTTTGTTCAATACAAATAAGGTTTAAAAACTATTTGTGTTTTGTTTTCAGTTTTAAAATTGAATGGAAATTTATTGGTTTGCATATTTTTGTCAGCTTATCAATTTCCTTTTATTCTGTTTTGCAACTTTTCTTTCTTCATTTTCTTTTGAGTAATTGTTACATCAACTATTATTTTATTTTTGTTAATTTAAAATTCTTTCTTGTGTTTTAATTTTATTTTTTATGTTTTTTTATGGAGGGGGAGGAAAGAAGGTAGTATATTTTTGTTTGAAGGTTATTCATCTCGTCTTTAATTGGTTGCTTAAATTTAATCAATAAATGTTCTTTTTTTTTTGGTATTATTTTTTATTTTGGTAGTTGTCTCTTCAGGGGGAGGGGATGGTTAGTTTCATTCTTTTTTTTATATTTTTGTTGTGTTTTTTTATTTTATAATAATTGTAGACTTATTTTTAAAGTTTAAGTTTTGTTCTTGTTATTTGAATTTGGTTTCGATTCGATTTACTTGCGCTCTCATAGTTGTTTTTTCAGAGATAAATGTCGCTGGGAGTCTTTTTTGTGAGCTAAGACTTAGAAAGGAAATTAGGCACGTCCTTTGCGGGCACCTGCAAGAGAATAAAAGAAAACAGGAAAGAAATAATTAATTTCGAAAATTTTCTTAGAATTGATTGCGCATCATATTGCGGCAACACTTAAGCGCCCAACACACGTCAAACATGTACGTTTGATCGGTGGAAAGCTGATAGACCACAAATGAATCAACAAAACTTTGGTTTTTAAAAAATGAAGATGACCGCGATAGTGACGACGCAAAAAAGACCGATCAGTTTTATTTATTTTAATTTAATTCACACCGATGGAAAGCACATTTTTAACGTGTGTGGCCCGCTTTAACTTTGTGTGCTAGTCTCACACATACATTTACATATTGCCATCCTCTCACCGTGTACATCACTGACCTAAAATAATCTACTCTTTTTACATGTTTTGTAACTTTTTACTCGAAAACCGTTCCTCAACCCACAAAACTGGTAAAACATTGACTCAAATTTAAGAGAGCACAAAACAAAATGGCGTTCTCTTTGAAAACTTTTTACTCGAGAAATTTGGTCGAGTAAAAATTGTAAACAGGAAAGCCTACTTCTGATTGGCTGTACCAGATTTGCATATTTACTAGATTTGCGTTTCCGAACTTTTATAATTATTTTGTACTCTGAGAGCAATTTTGAAATGTTTCCCTATTTAAAAAGTACTGGAACAGACCATACATACATGTGCTACCATCATGATGTTTCGAAGATCTATTTTAACATTTTGCAGAAAGTTCAAAATTATTGATGGAGTTTTAAAATATTTTCTAAAGGACTAACCCAGGAAGCAGATTTTTTTGTTAACATTTTCTAAGGGATTTATAAAATTAGTCTTAAGGAAGAATATTTCTAAGGGAATATAATGGATTTAAGATTATAGGTAACCAGCTTCTATTTTCCGAGTCATAATATGTAAATCTTGTAATTTTTCACACAACTGTGTTGTGAGTATATTAGGAACGCAGAAGGTTCGATGTCGCCATAGGTTAATAGTCATGTTGTTGAGTTATGGCGTGATGAGTTATACCGTGGTTTGCAGATATGGCGGGTGATTTTTTAGATTATATGCCATAAGTCAAATCGAATAAATCGAAGGATCTGGAAGGAGCAAGATGAGGTCAGAATAGCAATCCATCGGCTGAAGAATAATAAAGCAGCATGAGCCGATGGGTTACAATCCGAACTATTCAAGACTAATGGTCAGATGCTGGTAAGGAGCATGCACCAGCTGATTAGTACAATTTGGCTAGAAGAATGCATGCCCAATGATTGGAATCTCAGCACCCTGTGTCCCGAATGAAATCAGTTTTGAAATTCTGAGAAGGATAGTGATGGCCAACAGATGCTGCTATGGTCTAAGTAAGCAGTTTAGAAACAAGGCCACCTCCCGCTAGACCAAACTCACACTTTACAAGACGCTGATACTACCCGTGCTGTTATATGGATCTGAAGCATGAACTTACGCAAGCAGATGAGGCAGCTCTTGGAGAGTTTGAGAGAAAAATTCTCCGATAGATCAATGGGCCGATCTGCGTTGACGGTGAATATTGCCATCGAATGAACCACGAGCTGTACCAGCTATTCTCGGACATCGGCATTGTTAGACGTATTGAGCTGCAGCAACTACGTTGGCTAGGTCATGTTGTGAGAATGGATACAGATGCCCCAGCCCAAAAGACATAGAAGCGAACCAGCTGATGGTTCACGCAGAAGGGGAAGGTCACGAATAAGATGGAAAGATCAAGGGGAAGACAACATTGTCGAACATTGTCTTTAAAATTGGAAAAACTGCACAAAAGACCTATGGAACGAAAGTTCTATTACAAGCGAGTATTTGAACCACACTCCATTTTGGTTAGACACAAGAAATTTTCCTTCGATTCTTATTGTATTCATACAGAACTTCGGTGCTGGTGGGCGCATTTCCGCCTGTGGCTCAGCCACTGTGAGGTAGGCCAATATGCAGGAACTCGCATTAAACTTCTCAAGATACTGTAACCTACAGCAATAGGAACTTCATGAACAATTTCATAGAACTTAGCGTGACATTTACGGACTCTTGTAATACTAAACAATATCAGAAAAGGTAGACCCCTGTAAATATTTTCGAATAACTCCCGCATCCGCATTCTCTTCAGGAGTTAATACATATGCCTTAGAATTAAAAAGTGCCCATTAATATTTTGAGCCGAGCCGACCTTAAATGCAATATTTCGTAAGGATTATTCTATTATAATGCACAGACGGACGGACACACATGTCTAGATCGACTAGTCGAGATGCGACAATGGGTATACTAAAAAGGTCGGACTATGACCAATATTTCGCATCGTTACAAACTCTTGACGCCACATAAAGCTATAATATCCTACATACATAGTTGTGAAGGTTATAATAATTAATTACAACATAATTGGATACCCAAGAACCTCCTTCATATCAGAATAACAGGTAATGAAGTCACCTTTTGTCAACCCAATAACTGCACTAATTAGTTTTTTGTAGCTACTCGCTACATTTATGTTTTTCTCCCTCCCACTCTTGGTTCATTTATTTAGTGCAACAGAAGAAAAACAAGCGGATATCCCTTAATGCAAAAAATGCCTCCATTATTCTTGAATATTTGTATTGTCATCGTTATTCGATCCCATTAATTAACAAATTGCAGTTGCCATTGCAACTTTAATTAGTCAGGGCAGTAACAAAAGAACTCTTTTTTATTTTGGTTCCAAAAGGAATGCTGGTGTACAGTATGACAACGGATGCCCAGGGCAATTCATTGACTGGTAGACTGACTGTCAAAGTAAGAAAACAAAAAAAGAGAAAAACAATAAAGTATTCAATTGTTTTCTAAACAAATTGACTCTTTTGAACACAAATAATGTAGAAAAGTTCAGAAAATCCAATTGGTTGTCGTTCCAAGAAGTTACGATAACAATGATTCTGGGGAAAAAGTATGAAATTTCACAGGAAATTAAGAAAAAAACACTAATTAGTGAGTTATTGTCATGGTGTTGGTTAACATCATTATAATTCATTTCAATGTGTTTGTTATTTTATTTGTGATTCAGAGGCATTTTTGTAATAAAAAAAATTACTAATTTCGCCAAAGATACTGTCATATATATTAGGTTATAGAATTTTGTAAAAATATCATTTTGTTTCTATCATTGCACTCATATTAATAGTTATATATTATTTTTTTCCTCGCAGGTCCTGAAGTTTTCTGTCGGAGGCAAGCTTCTATATATTTTCAATTTTTAAACCAGTGAGCGGAGCAGGCCGACCATACGATACAACTGCTAGGAGCTCTAACTTTCTGCCGATTTTTATTCCGATTAGAGGTCAACAGCATTTCTTCCTTACTCTGATATATTTTCCGAATATTACTAATATTCAGTACAGCCCTTCTAATTACTTGTCCAGATTGCCTTCACGGTGGTTTGTGTTCGACTTTCAAAAAAACACGAAAAATTAAGTTTTTGTTCCAATTCATCACGAAATTATTATCTGATCATCATCGAAAATTATAGCCGTTGTCCTTGACCATACTTGGATCCTCATGGAACAATTAAAAGCGATCAGCGCTATATTTCCGCCTTTTAGTGTGGTAATGGGTTACTAAATAATATATGAATACATAAGCACCTGTACAAATGTAAGTGTAACTCCCACATCCGCCTACATAGGACAATATAATTGGTATCAATTTAAAGGTCAACCACTCTTCTTGGATATACTACAAATTTATCGGGCCTATGTCCTTCTGGAGTAAATATATACGCTCTAGAATACAAATTTTGTAATTTTTCACACAAAAGTAGGGGTCCATTTGACCAGCTAAATATTGACCGATCTGTACAACATGCTTATTCTTTGGCCCAATCCCCTTCTCCCTGTAAAAAAAATGTGATGTTTGGGTCATAGTTGCGGCCTCTGGAACGACCAGAAAATCCGACAAAAATAAAGTTTTTGGTCCATGTCATCCCCTAAATATTAACCGATCTTTACCAAAAACAATAGGGGTCTTCATTGGCCAGAACCCATCCTACATGCAAAATTTCGTGAAGATTGGTCCATAACTGTGGCCTGTATCGTGTTTATTAATTATAATGACCGATATGCATTATTAATTATAATGCATATCGTTAACAGAAAATAAATCTACTTTTTTTGTGGAATTTATGGTTGTTTTCTGAGAGAATTGTGGCTAGTCATAATTAGGAGGGTATGTGCTATTCAGAAAAGTTAATTGGTGGGACTTTTCAACACATTTTCGTAATAAAATTAGAAAAATTAAGGAATATTCGATAATATTTGTTTATTTCTTTAAAGACGTAAAGTAAAGATACCACCACTTTTGACCGAAAACAAATATTGCATTGAGCTATTAATCCGTCGGAAGGACGACAACGTAAAAAACTGTAGTAAAAAGAAGAAATCGCTATATCTAATCCGGGAGCTATATCTAAATCGATTCCGTCAACACTTTACCATAAGTCATTCTATACTTCTTTGGATAGGCTGTACAATATTAAGTGCACCATTTCAGTCAAATCGGACCAAAATATATATTAACGCTATATTTAAATCTGAAGTAATTCTAGAATTAATTTAATTGGCTGTGTAAAATTTCGTCCCAATCGGTCAATCGTCGCGTCATTGGTACACCACTTAAATAACATAGGACGAAAATATATATGGGAGCTATATCTAAATCTAAATGGATTTCGACAAAACTTTACATAAACCATTCTAGACTTAGTTTGGTACGCTGTACAACATTTCACATCAATCGTACAATCGTTGAGTCTTTGGTGAACCATTTGCATGTAAACATTTAAATTCGACTTCTTTAAGGCATAAAAACAAATATATGTTTCAGACGATTTCTTTTTAAGGCCACAAAAAAAAACTTAATGATGCTTAACCCGAAGCATCAGCAGCACTTTAAACAGTAACATTCAAATCGAAAAGAAATCCTACTTAAATTGTATGAAAACGTCGATTTTTTTTTATTTAAAGACATCTGGGACTTTTCAGCCTTAGCCTTGTGATTTCCAATCATGCATATCAATAGATGGCGCTATTCAAATGTCATTGCCAGTGTTGTCGTGCTACATTAAAATTATGGACTAATTTGGAAATATTGCATTTTTATACCCTACACAACTATGTTGTCAGGGTATCATAGCTTTGTGCAGCGCCAACTACAAACTGTTGGCGCTGCACAAAGCTATGATATTGGTCATAGACCCACCTTTAAGTATACCGATCGTCATATCTCGACTGCTGAGTCGATATAGACATGTGAGTCGATATAGAAATGTGTGTCCGTCCGTCTGTCCATTATAATTTGTAAACACGATACAATCTTCACGAAATTTTGCATGTAGGAAGGGTTCTGTCCAAGGACGACCCCTATTGTTTTTGGAAAAGATCGCTTAATATTTAGGGGATGAAATGGACCAAAAACTTTATTTTTGTCTGATTTTCTGGTCGCTCCAGAGGCCGCAATTATGGTCCAAACATCGCGACGTTTTTCATGGAGAAAGGGATCGGGTTAAATAATAAGCATGCCTGTTTTGATAAAGATCGGTCAATATTTGGCGGGTAGAATGGACCGATACTTTTGTGCGAATAGTTACAAAAATTGTAATCTATAGCATATATATTTACTCCTGAAGGACATAGACCCGAGAAATTGATAGTATATCCAAGAGGAGTTGTTGGCCTTTAAATTGATACCAGGTATATTGTCGTATGTGCTCGGATATGAGAGTTACACTTAAATATTTACAGATGCTTACGAATTCAGTTATTATTCAGTAACCCATTACCGCACTGTAGGGCGGAAATATAGCGTTGATCGCTTTGAAAATGTCCATGAAGTTCCGGTTATGGTCAAGGACAACGCCTATAATTTGTGGTGATGATCAGATAATAATTTTGGGATGAAGTGGACCGAAACTTGTTTTTATTGTGTTTTTTTCAATTCATTCTATATGCCACAATTATAAGCCGAATATTACACTGGAAAATGAATCTGGCAAAATAATTTGATGGGCTTTTGTAATGATCTGTCACTATTCAGCGTGTTAAGTCAACCAAGACCTTTCTGTGTAAAATGAAAGAAAATTGGATATTATGATATAAAACATAATTCGAATAAATGTCATGGCAAGAAATAGGAGCTATTGATCTCTAATCGGTTAAGAGGGTGCAAATATCGCGAAATATTGACCATTCTTGGAATATAGATCTGAAGAAAGTTAGAGTTCAGTGGTATTTGTGTAGGGTATCATATGGTCGGCCCCGTCCGACTATACTGCTCCGCTCACTGGTTAAACATATCTTTAGGCGCTTATAGAAATAAAGTTACCTTTAAGGAGACGTTTCACTCATTCTGCCATTTCTAAACAGTCATTTAACATTAAAGCCACCATTAAAAAAAAGAAAACAGTGTCAACAGTTGTTATAGGCATTCGGGGACTTCCTTAATTTCCTATTGATATCCTGGCAATTTTCAGTAACATTTACCAGGATTTATTTATACAGAAATGGCATATTCAATTTTTGGCGTAGTGGTCTTGAAAAGATGTTCTAGTCGCTCTAAAGGCCACATTTATAAGCCGAAGACAACAAAGTTTCCACAGCGATTATGTGAATCATGTAATTGGAATGGCTGCTTCGATAATGATTGGCCAATATTTACCGGATGAAATGAACTGGTGTAGGAGCTGTTGACCTTTAAACTAAAAATCAATTCTATGAATGGAAGTGGTCCTATATGGGAGAAATTTTTAATTAAAATGCAGGCCGCAGTTATGGACCAATTGACATGAATTTAGGTAGGATTGGAGCCGTCGCTCTAGAATTCACAATTATAACCTGAATAAATATTAAATGCGGAAAGGGATCTTACCCAAAAAAGAGTATGGCGGTTTCGAAGAAAATCGGTTAACATGGTCCAAATGTAAATATAATTTTTAGCGTACTGGTTGCCAATGTAACATCTTCATTATAACATTAACATTTTTTATTACAATCTAAAAAAATGTAATTTCTCATTTCAGGTAATCTAAACAGATTATGGCATTCGAGAATACCAACGGTTGTTATAACTCATCACTGATTTTTATAGCAAATCCTGTTTTCAATTTGCAGAGGAAGGAGTAAATTAAAATACCCAACTATCATTATCTCCTGTGTCCATGGTAATAATTAATTTCCTTAATTTACCAACATCCTGCGTGGGTTTTTGCGCTCAACAATTCTGTTTTCTCCCGCCATTCCGTTGACACTATAAGGTAATATCATTCTTAACGTAATTAACTGCTTAAGCTTATTACTGGCCAGATATGCCAATGACTGGATGGAAAGAAGCCAGGCAAACAGACAGACAGGCTGACATATCATTGTCATTCACTGGGTAACTCAACTCACTCACTCACTTATTCACTCACCTTTATCTTTATTTTTACGCTGTTCCTTGGCAGTCTTATCCTTGGATTTGCCTGGTTTGCAGTTCTTCTTGATGACACGTGTTGCTTCGCACGATGGATCGCTTGTTGCTTTCAATTTGTCGGCGCGTGTCATTTGACCGGTGGCACATTCGGACCAGGAGCCCTTTTCATAGCGGCATGCTGTAATAGGAGATATACAGATAGAAAGAGAGAGTGAGAGGAGGGAGAGAAAAAATAAATTAAATGTTACAATTAATATTAGAATAATACAATTAGATAGTCAAGTTTAATGTGGGTATTAGTTTCTGCTGCATTGTCCCTAATGATAAAAATCCGGTTGGTGTTGTAGTAGGAGTACGTATACACACATACAGACAAACATACCATGACATTAAAAGTTAAATGGCACAAACAAAAGGGCGAACACAAAAAAAACCCTATTCACAAACAGTTGATTAAAAATGACAGGATTACCAGGGATTAGAGCTGCCCGCGGCAAGTGATGCTGATATTGCCACACGGGCATATTCAATTATTACTCTATTACTGTGTGACACTTGGATATTTTTTTATGGCATTACCAAGAGGATTATACGACCAAGTTTTTAATTAATTTCTGTGATTTTAAGATTTTTTCTACTTTATTATTATTAAATTTCACATTATTTTTTAATAAAAAAATGGGGAATTTTGGAAAAATTTGGGTAATGTATATAGAGATTTATTCTCATCATCGAAGCAGGTCCTGATTGAACTGGATCTACATTTTGCTGAAAAAAAAAACTAAATTAATCCTGCAAAATCAAAACCCATTGGAGCAATGTACACGGCTCAAAACAATAGTAAGAATTGACAGATCCAATGCGGATATATCTAAGATTGAAGAATGAAAATACCAACGTATGAAAATACTTAACCATTTTCGGTCCATGACTAAAAAATGTACTGTGTGCCAAGGATATATCTACATCTTAACCGATTTTCACGAAACTTGGCAGACACCATTCTAGGCTCTATTCAGTCAATGGTGCACCATTGACATAAAATCGGACGAAACTATATATGGGACGGACAGGCGGACATGCGTAAATCGACTCAGAAAGTGATTCTATGCATATTCTCAAAAGGAACCATGGTCTATCTCGATACCTTTTGCCTGTTACAAACATATGCACAAAGACATAATACAGTGTGGTGAAGGGTATAAAACCTGGAAGGAGACAAAACATATTTCAGACCAAAATATCGGAAGAGGGGCTAAAATCCCAAATTTCAACTTTTATAGACATAGGCATGTCGTCAAGTCCGATCTAAAACCCATCGTTACGTTTATATGGGGTATGAGGCATTGAAGACTGTATACAATTCCTTTGTACGTTCGGTTCGGCTCAAAAAATACCCCTATTGTTTTTAGTAAAGATCGGTTAAAGTTATGGGAATGAAATGGAAAATGTTAATTTTGTCTTCAATAATGACCCGAATATTACGAAATTTTACACGGATAAATGCATCTAACAGTATATACAAGAGGAGTGGTTGACTTCCAAAATAATACAAATTATACTGTTCTATATACTCGGAATATACACGGATATGGAATATATACGAAAATATATTTGCAGGGGTCTACCTATTCTGACACTGTTTAGGACGTAAATGTGGCGACATGAAACAGTTCATTCAGTTCCAGTTGTTTACAATATGAATCGTAGAAATATTTCTGACAAACTAATAGAACATCCTTTATGCTTTGAATTTTTATAACCTACACAACTATGTTGTTAGGATATTATAGCTTTGTGCAGCCCCAAAAGTTTGTAACGCCGCGAAATAAATATTAAGTATACCGATCGTCATATCTCGACTAGCTGAGTCGATCCGTCTGTCCATTATAATTTGTAAACACGATACAGGCCACAGTTATGGACCAATCTTCACGAAATTTTGCATGTAGGATGGGTTCTGGCCAATGAAGACCCCTATTGTTTTTGGAAAAGATCGGTTAATTTTTAGGGGATGAAATGGACCAAAAACTTTATTTTTGTTGGTTTTTCTGGTCGCTCCAGGGACCGCAATTATGGCCCAAACACCGCTATTTTTTGCATGGAGAAGGGGAATAAGCATGCCTGTTTTGATAAAGATCGGTCAATATTTAGCGGGTCAAATGGACCCTGACTTGTGTGTGAAAAATTACAAAATTTGTATTCTATAGCGTATATATTTCCCCATGAAGAACAAAGACCCGAGAAGTTGATAGCACATCCAAGACGAATGGTTGACCTTTAAATTGATACCAATTATATGGTCGTATGTACTCAGATGTGTGAGTTACACTTAAATATTTACAGGTGCTTACGTACTGATATATTATTTAGTAACCTATTACCACACTGGAGGGTGGAAATATAGAGCTGATCGCTATGAAATGTTCCATGAGGTTCCAGTAGTGGTCAAGGACAACGACTATAATTTTCGGTGATGATCGATAATAATTTTGGGATGAAGTGGACCGAAAACTTTTTTTTCGAGTCGATCTATAGGCCACAATTATAAACCGAACATCACAACACAACCCACGGTCAAGGGAATCTGGACAAGTAATTAGAAGTACTGTGCTGAATATTAGTAATATTCGGAAAATATGTCCGTGTAAGGAAGAGGTGCTATTGACCTCTAATCGGGCAAGAGGGTGCAACTATAACGAAATTTTGTCAGGCTCAGAATAAAAATCCGCAGAAATTTAGATTTCCGTGATAGTTGTGTAGGGCATCGTATGGTCGGCCCCGTCCGACTATACTGCTCCGCTCACTGGTTTGAAATATTTTAGCTCATTTGAAAGTTATTGTAATTTTACCAATACCTTGATATTTTTTTTTTGTGCTACGTGCTATTGCTGCTTGGAGTCTCACTCAACATGTTATCAAATGTTAACTCTAATTATATTTTGACTATTTAAAATGTATTCTTAAGGAACCAACAAAACAAACTTTGGCTGCCAATACTTGCCACTTTTAAATGTGTCCCAAATCCTCAAAATATCGAAATATGGGGAAATGGGGGCTGCCAAAAAGTTTGGATTTATATTGATAATTTTTAGCAGGATGATTTTATACTCAATTAGAATCCAACGTACCAAAACGGTGTTCAAAATCCTCAAGATGCCGAAATGAAGGAGTACTGTTTAAGGTACCCTTAAAGCTTGAAGAAATATTAATATTTTTGGCAGGGTAGTTATAGATAACACAAAATGCCAAACTACAATCAATTAGCTTTAAAAATATGTCCACAATACCTCAAATACCGAAAATCGGGGGATCATTAGCAAAACATAATTCAATCTATTCCATAATCGGCCCACTCTTCGCACGGGAAAAGGCTGAATTTGAAAATTCAGCAACATATTTTAAATGCTTCAGAAGTTATTAATTTAATGCTGCTAAATTAATGATTTCGATTTAACGAGTATCAAGGATACCTTCAATAGTTTTCAATTTAAATACAGATCCCCATACACAATTTCATGCAAATGGTGCATCGCAGATCCTATGGGGAGGTGCATGGAACCCAACTAAATTTTTACATGTACTATATAAGAATAGACCCCATTATTTATAAGTGAATATGCAACTATTATTTTTACACATACCGCATAAGCAATTTACATAAAGATACGTACTCGTATAAATGTAGTTACATATATGAAAAAAAATATTCTCCCCCATTTTCCAATTTTCATGAAAAACATAAAACATGACAAATTTTGTTAATTTTCTTTCTGGCATTTTATGGCTTAACAAGTAATCAATGTGGCATTCGTTCGCTCGCTCGAGTATGTACGTGTGTAAGGATTGAGTTTTCTGGCATTTACATATTTGCTCATATTTGCAAATGTAATAAAAGTTTAAACATTCCAACGTTTAGCCTTGTAAATTTCTGGGGTTCTTCCCATTTCATGCTTATCGATGACTTCCGTTTCTGGTTTCGAACGTTATTGTCGTTACGACAGTGACAACGGCAACGATGTCGGCTACTGATATCATTCAAATAGTTTCTGTTGAACAATGACATTTTTCGTTGTTATTGTTCTCGTAAAGCCAATTTGCATTTAACAAGTTTTTTTTTTTTTTTTGGCTTTTCACAATTTCAATACGACGACTGATTGCAAACAATGAAAAAATGATAATCCCCGTAATGTTTTTCAATATAATGTCATGACACATACATCTACAGAGGCACACACTCATATGCATGTATAGAGAGAAATTTATAGTAAATGGAGAAACAATATAGGAAACGGAAAAATGTCTACGAAAAAAAAAGAACATCATCCATTGTTCGTGTATTGCCTTGCAGATAGACACGTTTATTTCAATATTATTCTGAAACGTTTTGAACTGATGAAGAAATTCTTTTAACTTCTTTTTCTCCATTTGTTGATATTTAAAATTGTTGTACAAAACATTGCTCAAGGAACAGTGTGATGTGACCAAATTTTCCAAAAGTAATTCTAAAGTGAACAGGTTCCACCCATATCAAAATTTTAAGCGTTCGGATATAAAATGTGTACTTTGTGTGGCTTCAGTATAAATCGGGTGAAATATATATACGAAAGCTATATGAATATCTTAACCGATTCCTCGCAAATTTTGTACATGTGTGCGAAATTTGAAAGGTCTGGCTGCTTCCAGTGTTTTGCTGCCCCACACAAACCTGTCATTGGGCCCGTAGCGGGCTGGCACGAAATTTTGTACAGTTGGTCTCCAGACATTATCTTAAGTTTATCGATAAGCACTCGCTTCATCTGTTTATAGATTCCCTCTGTAGCCTGTCGGTACTACTGGTATTTTATAAAGATGATCACTATAACACACTCATAATGGTCCTATCAAAAGATTTAATGTCTTCAAAAAATACTCTATTCTAGTCTTCTATAAAGTAGCTATTCTGATTTAGATCTCCTGGTCTTCTATAAAGATCTTTCATATAGAAACCATAGTGACCATGTATGAAGAAATCCCCTTCTATAAAGAAACCCTAGTGGCCGTCAAAAATTTGTGTATCTGGTCTCCAGGCATTTCCTATGGTTTTCGGTACAAAATATATAAATGTAGCCCTACTAGACTACCATAAAAAAGTCCAACAATGACCTTGAGCTCATCTCAGATGTATAATCTCCACTG